TGGTTTGAGAGTCTAGAGATCACTCAGATGGTACTGGAAAAGCAGGTTATGAAAAGCCCTGAATGCTGAAGAGTTGCTATCTCATAGGCCATGAAGAGCCACCAAGGGCCTGATAGAGAAGTCTGTTGGGCCAGGCATGGTGGCTCATGTCTGTAATCCTAGCACTCTGGGAGGCCGAGGTGGGAAGATTGCTTGAGGTCAGGAGTTCGAGACCAGCCTGAGCAAGAGTGAGACCCCGTCTCTACAAAAAATAGAAAAATTAGCTGGGAGTGGTGGTGTGGGCCTGTAGTCCCAGCTATTCAGGAGGCTGAGGAAGGAGGATTGCTGGAGCCCAGGACTTTGAGGTTGCTGTGAGCTATGATCACTCCACTGCACTCTACCCAGGGTGACAAAGTGAGACTCTGTCTTAAAAAAAAAAAAAGAGAGGTCTATTTTAGGAAGCTTAGTGTGGCAAGAGCACAGAAGACCAGTTGAAGGGAGAAGGTCTGTTTGCCAATCTACCTTCTCTTTCCACTCTTACCTGTCACTATTTTAACTTACACCTTCCCCTGGACAGTTTTCCTGGCCATTGACAAATGAAGGGACTGAGGATGTTGGGAGGACATACAGAGTTCAGTGAACAGGAAGACAGGTCCAAAGACCTGGGTGGGGCTAAGCTTCCATCCCTGGCCTGTGCCATCTCCTAGGCTGATAGCATATGGATGGAAATGGATGATGAGGAGGACCTACCTTCTGCTGAGGAGCTGGAGGACTGGCTTGAGGACGTGCTGTCAGGAGAGATCAACACAGAAGATGATGATGATGATGACGATGACGACGATGATGACTAGTTGCTGTGCCAACTATCTCCCAGCCCCACCTGATCTCCTTATGCTCCCTCCTGCCTTCTTTGTCCTTCCCTGAGCTCCTCCAGGGACACTAGCTCATTCTCTGTCATAGGGACAACTGGGGTCTATATGCTGGGTACTGAGGCCCTGATCCCCCTCATCTGATGAGGCAAGGAGCTACTTTTCCCTAGACACCAGCCCAGCTGTCTCATCTGACTTCTGTTTCTTATCCCATAACTTACCTGCATTATTTGTCTCTTTCATCACTTCCCATCCTCTTTCTTATGATTCTTCTCTTGCCCTGTCTATGGGCTTCCATCTCTTCTGTTCCCTTCATCTACACACAGTCTTCCCCTACTCCCTCAAATCGCATATCCTTCTAGCTGTCCTGCCCATGGCCAGGAGGAAGGGAGGGTACTGAGTTTGGACTGTATCTCAGCAATCTCTTGTTAATATATTTGGGTCAAATGAGAGGCCTCAATAAAGAGATCTGGGGCAGCATGAGCAAGTGTCTGTTGATGAAGTCTCGCCTCTATGGCAGGAGGAGGTGGCCTCTGATGGGGGATTTAGGTGTGGGTGCCTAGTTAGGAATGAGCTAGGGGACTGTGAAAGGAGGTGGCTGGGGCTCCCTCTAGGCAGCTATCCCAGAGAAGCCTGGATTATTTATCTGCTTCAAGTCAACAAGCCTTTTCTGAACACATGGTGTTTGTCCAGCGCTGCTATTAGGCTCTGGGAGAACAGTGAGTGCCAGGCCTATCCCTTCTCTTGAGCCGATTAGCCTCACTGAGAAGTCAAGAGAAGCACACTAGGGCCCGGTGCAGTGGCTCATGTCTGTAATCCTAGCACTCTGGGAGGCCAAGGCGGGGAGGTCGTTTGAGCTCAGGTGTTCGAGACCAGCAAGAGCAAGACCCCGTCTCGACTTAAAAAAAAAAAAAAAATAGAAAGAAATTAGCTGGACAACTAAAAATATATATAGAAAAAATTAGCCGGGCATGGTGGCGCATGCCTGTAGTCCCATCTACTCAGGAGGCTGAGGCAGAAGGATTGCTTGAGCCCAGGAGTTTGAGGTTGCTGTGAGCTAGGCTGACACCATGGCACTCTAGCCCGGCAACAGAGCAGGGCTCTGGCTGAAAAAAAAAAAAAAAAAAATACAAGCACACTAAACAATTGAAGAAAAATACAAAGCAGTATGTAATTAAGTGATTATGTGCTGCTTGATAGCACCCTTCCTGCAGCTCTTATTTGAACATCAAGACTGAGCCCCAATTATACTTCCTTGGTGAGGCCTTCCCAGAGGTTGCCCTCATGCACTGCCCTCCTCTGGGTCCCTGCTGCACTTTCTATATACACCTCTATTCTAGCACTCAGCACGTTCTTCATTTACATGTCTGTCTTTCCCACTAAACTATATGCCCCTTGAAGGGAGGAACCCAAGTTTTTTCTTTGTTTCCACAGGGCCTGACACTCAAAAAGTTGTCCCTAATAAATGTTTGTTAAAAGAACAAAAGAAAGAACAGAATGGACTCAGAAGAGACAGATCAGAGTGGGCTTAATGACTTCACAAAGGAAGTGAGCCTTTTCTAGGCTTTAAATTGAAGAATGGGATTTCACTGGAGACAAAGAATTTGGGGAGTAGACACCTCAGTTGGTGGAAACATCAAAAGCATTGGCAGGATGTGTTTATCATATTGGGGGCACACAGAGATACAAGAAGAGAAATTCAAGTTGTGGCTGTGAGGTTGGGTAAGCATCATGGGGCTGAGTTACAGAGGTGTTTGAATTTAATCCTGTGAGCTGAGGAGGAAGGGCAAAATATAATCTGTATCGATGAGCAGAACAGATATGGGGAGGGGAGATGATGGAGACGCCAGAGGAAAGGAGCCCAATTCACAATGAGAGACTGTAATAATTGGAGTGGAATTCAGAGAAGATGGACCCAAGTGGTGGTCATGGGAATGGAGAGGAGACATTTTGTACGACGGGGATCCCCAGACCTAGGCCTCCTGGAGTTCTTGGCCACAGTTTCTCCAGAATAGCCCCAGGATGCAGTGAACATAAAGGAATTTGGAGGGGGGTGGGAGGACCAAACAGCTAAACAAGCCTGTAAATAAACAGACATTATATTTTTTATGTCTACATCAGGTATAAAGGTGTTGCTGGGAGACTCAGAGGATTTCTAAGTATGGAAAGAGGAGGCTTGAGGTTAGAGAAGTTTTCACTCTCCACAGACAAATCCAGGAAGCATTCTTACAGAAGGTGGCAAGAATATAGAAAGCAGAAACCACATATTCATCCAACTTGTACCCATTTAATAAATGTTTAATAAGTAGTATGGGCACTGGGTTAATATTGTAATAATACTGTGGAACTCACTGTCTAGCATAGGTCAGTGGATGGCCCCAGACTAAATAATAGCTCCTATTTTTTAAGTACCCCTCTGTGTCTGTCCATGGAGACTTACTTTTTTTTTTTTTTCTTTTGAGACAGAGTCTCACTGTGTTGCCCGGGCTAGAGTGAGTGCTGTGGCGTCATCCTCGCTCACAGCAACCTCAAACTCCTGGGCTCAAGCAATCCCGCTGCCTCAGCCTCCCGAGTAGCTGGAACTACAGGCATGCGCCACCATGCCTGGCTGATTTTTTCCATGTATTTTTAGTTGTCCGATTAATTTCTTTCTATTTTTAGTAGAGACGGGGTCTCATTCTTGCTCAGGCTGGTTTTGAACTCCTGAGCTCAAACGATCCGCCCGCCTCGGCCTCCCAGAGAGCTAGGATTACACGCGTGAGCCACCGCGCCTGGCCCCATGGAGACTTACTTTTAATGAATTTCAGAAGAACCCTATAAAATAGGCATTGGCATTCCCATCTTACTGGTGAAGACACTGAGGCTTTGAAGCATAATTTGCTCAAGGAGGGGGTAGAGCTAGCATATAGTCCAAGTCTCCTGTGCCTTGTTGCCTCCAGAAGACCTGAGCCTTTCACTTAACTACAGGAGTCTCAAAGATGCGTCAACAAAATAGGTTTTGTCCCTACAACACAGAGCAAATACAATATGTACGAAAGCAAATTATGAGGGTGTTTTCTGTCAAAGGGGCAGCAATAGGCCACACTGGGGGAAAGGAACACCAAAGAAAAGGGCTGTGAAACTCAAAGCAGCACGATCCTGAGCCTCTTCTAGAGGCAGTGTAGACCTAAAAAAGGGGCTCATTTGAAGCTTCCGGAAGGGTCTCTGCCAGGTTGGAACTGAGGTGAGTCAGGGTGGTCCTGAAAGTGGCACAAACACTGAGGGGATCCCTCAGACCTAGGCCTGCTGGAGTTCTTGGTAGGAAGGACCCACCCAGGGCTCAGACCTCTTCCTAGAACCAGACCCTGCCCAGAGTTGAGGCAAGACCCCTTAGGCTGGAGATGGGGGTGAAAAGAGATATGTCTCCAATTCTTCCTTTCCTCTTTCAGTCTGGCTAAGAATCTGGGGGAGGAAAGTCCCCGGGTGGAGGGGAAGTGAGAGCTGCCACCCTGGGCCTGGGCAGTGGGGCAGAGCTAGGAGACAGAGCTAAGTGTGGCTTTGCAAGTTGTCTATATTTGCATGCTGAGCTCACTGCTGCTCTTTTTCTCCCCAGAAAATAAAATTACATCATGGGGGGAAGGCGGGAGGGGGTATATTTGGGAAAGGTGAGAGAAACACAAAGGGGCCCTCTGGCATTACCCTGGAAAGAGAAGAGCCATGGCTCCAGATCAAATTAAGGAGGTTTCCACGTTGCTGCTTGCCTTGACCTCCTACCTCCACTCCCAATGTGGTTAAGTCTATCTATCAGTCATTGACTACTGCGCCCCTGACCCTTAAGGCAAGGAAAGAAGTTTTTACAATACCAAAGCAAGCGGTTAAGAAAATCCACCCGCCAAAGGCCTTCCCAACCCCTAAACCTGAACTTACTCTGTGCCTCCCAGAGGTCCCAGCCACCGCGGTCATCCAAACGCTAAAAGGGGAGGAGGATGACCTACTGAGAAAGAATTAAACGTGAGAATTGTTTCGCAGTTTAGGAAAAAGCAGCAGCGTCTCCTACTCCAGCCCTCCACCCTATTCCGTCCCCCATCCTAGGAGTCTTCCAGAACCCCAGCCCCTCGGTTGCCCGCCCCCTCCTGCCTCCCCTCCCCCTCCTCCTGCCACTCCCCGCCCCCCGCCCCTCCCCGGCTCTGACATCACCGGCCAGCCGGGTGGAGTGAGGCGGCGCTGGGCTCGGGCTCCGGCTCCGCGGGCGGAAGAGGCGGCGGCGGCGGCGGCAGCGGCGGCGGCGGCGGCGGCGGGAGCCAAGGAGGAGGCTCCGGACGCTACTCAAGAACCGGGGACCCGGGAGTGCCCGCGCCCTGAGCGCTCAGCTCCAGAGGCGGTGAGAGGGGTGCAGAGGAGACACGTCGCGGGGGGCAGATTTGGGGTCTGGGCTTGGAAGGACTAGGATCCGGGACGCCGGGGGGCCAGATGGGGGAACGTGGGGACCCCGGAAGGGTCCGCTCTGTATCAGGCCCCACGGGGTCCGATCCTCGGTCCGCGCGTCCCGAGCGCCTGTGCGCTGGAGGCGGCGTGGCTGTGGCCGCCCATCCCACGCTGAACGGCGGTTGGGAGTCGGACCCGGGCCTGGGGATTCGGATGCAGCCTGCTTCCCGCCCAGCCGGCTCGGCCGGGCCAGCTCCCGCCCCTCCCTGCCCGCTGTGGCTCCGGACTCGCCTCCGCTGGCCGTCCCTCGGTCCAGCCCTGTCTCAGTTCCGCGGCCCGCCGCCCGCCGACACCATGTGCCCTCACCCCCAAGCCCAGTGCCCCTGGGCAAGAGGTGGGATTGGCGAAAGCTTGTCCCAAGGGAAGAAAGCGCGGGGCGGCGGCGGGGGGTGTAGATGAGTGATGTATCTAACGTAAAAGCCCTGATTAATATCACAGAATCCGTTTCAAAATTGACAGGGACACACAGCACACCTTCAAGAGACACGCCAGCACAGTGACACACACCCATGTGACTCTTACACACATCGTCTCACACACACCAAATCACACACGTCCCTGCACTACGCATCCAACCACCCACCACACCCCCACTGCCTCCCATATGGAGTCTACTGAACTGTGGGCTCCATGTCATCAATCTAACAGAACAGCTGAGTGGACAGAAAGGGCCACCATCCCGTGTCCACCCTGATTTTCTGGGCAGCTTTTCCCAGCCCCTGGCTTCCCTCTTTAAAACGGTGGGAAAAGATGGGAGAAAATTGTGATCTCTCTCCTCTAGGACAAGGAGATAGTATGCTGAGGGCTAATGAGCCGGGGTCCTCTTAGCTGGGTGAAAGAAGGGAGGGGCTTCTGGTTACCTCTCTTGCTGGGTCCAGCTAGAGCTTAGGGTGCTGGGAGTGGCTAGTTTCTGGCCAGGAGTGGCCAAGGGATAGAGGAGGAGGGTGGAAGAAAGGGAGAGGGAGAAAAAGAATGAGTCAGCCAAGGATGGAACCCAAGTCAGAGAGAAAATGAGAGGAATGTGTGTGAGAAGGAGACAGACATCAAGAAAGGGCCAGAGGGCCAGAGATAGGGAACCAGGGAGAGGAAGTGTGACAGAGATGGTCAGAGGAGTGCGAAGTGTGCTGGAGAGTGGACTATAGAGGCTCAGAAATTAAGGAGGATGAAAGCAGGATGGTGGGACCACAGGGAGTTAGGGGAAACATGCTGAATATGTTTGTTTAGTTAGTTTACCATGTGTCTGGCCCCCAGGCTGTCAAAGAGATTAGCTTTAATTGCTCTTTCCTTTGTGGCTAAACACTGTTGGAGAAATTGCCAGTGATGCCCTCGGCTACAGGCTCCCCTGGTTGCCTGTTCCTCACTTTTATGACACCTGTGCCCATCTTGTGTGTGTGTATTATCATGCATGAAGGGGGTCACAGAATAACAGTGTCTCACCCAAATCACACAGACCCTCAAGTACAATGTCATGATGGATTTCTCCACCAAGCCGGTAGGGAGCCAACCACTGGACCTCCAGGCCTCTCCCACTAAAACTTTATCTTTTGCAGCAGGGATGCTCACCCCTTCCCAATAGTAGCTCTGAGTATTCAGATGAGGATGCTGATCACAGAACCTAGGAGTCCTAAGTATTCATGGCTACCACCAAGTGGGATGTGTGAGTAGGAAAAGCTGGAAGGGATGAAAGCCCATTGAAAGGCAAGGAGGAAAAGAGACTGAGAGACTAGAGAGGGAGGAAATAGATGAAGAGAGATGGGGGAGAGAGACAGAAATAGGAGCAGGAAGTGCCACAACCAGATGAGTGGAGACAGAGATCGGCTAGGGCGAGTGACAGGTGCCATTCCTCCCCTCACCATCACACAGCCCTCCTCTGCCCGCCTGACCTAATGCCAGGTATCACCTGATGCCCCATTTTGGGTCTGGCCCTTCTCTTAGACTAAGTGATGAAGGCTTAGTCCCTGTCCTCATGCTCAGGGGTAAACCCACTTTGCTTCTTGCACTGAAGTGAACCTTTTGGGGCCCAGGTGTCCTGCCTTCCCTCATTCCCAGGCTGACTTGGAAGCCTCAAAACCCTCGTCATCTTCCTTATTACAGGAAAAGAGACATCCTCCAATCGCCCCCCCAAAGCTCGATAAAAGCTTAGGGAAGAAGTCAATCGAGTATGATATTAAAGGAAATAAACTACAGGACTACTTGAATTTGGGGCCTGGATATAATTTAAAATACGATAGCTGGAACCCTAAGCTTTCCCTACCCACCCGTCTGCCCCCCCTTTATTACTTCCCCCAACTGCAGGCAAAAGACTGACAGATTGAGTGCCTGGGAGCCCCCTCCTTCCTATTATAGGGACCTCCAGGTCCTTGCAGCTGTGTGGGATGGCCTCTCCCCTCAGCCTTAGGCAGCTGCAACAGATGTGAAGGAGGGAGGGGCAGCAACTCCTAATCCTCTGGCTTCCTTCTGACTTCTTAAATTTACTGAGGATTTGGAACCAAATGCTAGGGAGAGGGGACAATCTACCATGAATTAAAGTCAAAATGCACAGAAATTCTTTTGGTGCAGTCACCTCCTCTACAGGTGGTTATCCCGTTTGCCGGGCTTCTCAAAGCACTCCCCAGGCCTGCCTCTTCCTCCCTCAGTGCCCATGGAGCGCCCACCTATCATTCTCCCAACTCCTACCCTAAAAGGCCAGCATATAATGATCCTTACCTCCTGCCCCTCTTCCCCAGCATCCTCAGTTGGTTTGACCTTTATCAGGGCTCTGCCTGGGGCCAGCTTGCGAGGAGAGGGAGGAAGGAAGGTGTGAGGAAGCGGTGAACAGAGCACAGAAAGCTGGGAGGGAAAGGGACTGACTTCCTGGCAGCCGAGGCTCCGGTTCCTGCCCTGGTATCCTGTCCCAAGAATGGCCTCCGCCCAGGCTGCCCGGTGATTCCTAGGCAGCCCTCTGTACTGTTCCAGAGATCAGGAGGATTTTTCAGAGCCCAGAGGGTAGAAGACTTCTCCATAGGCTCTAAGGAATTCTGAATCTCTGGTGAGGAAAGTGATATGGAAGACGAAAGAGCCAAGCTCTGCTAAGCCTCACCATGGCCAGCCCAGCCCAGGGACAACAGTTGATCAGTGAGACTTGAGAGCCATGTAAGGAGATTCCACCTCCCCACAACCTGAAAATTTCCCCCAAACAATGCTGCCCTTGCCCCTGCTGCCACACCCAGGCCTGGGTAAATGGATCTCCCCAGGGAGGGAGGCAACCAGGCTGCCTTTTCTTATTCCCTCAGGGGGCCTTATTCCTATCCTTTCTGTCCCTTCTTACCATTCCCCACACTCCTCCCATCCAGTGGTATCATTGTCCTAACCACTGGGTCGGGGGGGAACCCAGAACTGAGGTTGCTATGGTAACAGCTGAACTGAGGCTATAGCCTTCTAGTTGCGGATGGTGTGCTCCCTCCCCCCACCCCATTCCTCATTTGCAGCCTCAGTCTGTCCCTCTCCCAACCCCAGCTCTCTTCTTCCATTATGTGGGCTCCTCTCCCTCCTCTGGACGTGAGCCGGTGGTTACATACCTTCTTAACACATACTCTTGGCTGGTTCCGACACATGCAGACACACAGGTACTCACAGCCAGCGCACGCACAGCCACACATCCAGGGCTGGCGCGCACCCCTCCATTACCAGGACACATCCGAACACACCGACCGATACCCGGCCACTGCCTCCTCCAGGTACCCAAATCCATACCCAGCATCCCCAGGAGACTGGCACACACACATTTGTCCTCTGCCACTTTAACATTCCCACCCCCCATTTCTCTTAGGGGCCTCCTTGTATCTTTCACTCTCTCAGAAATATCGTACCCACTGCCCCCCCTTTGTGGGTGGGTGGGTGTGTTACACACATTAATCCCTTCCCACCCACCTCCTCTGCAGATCTGTGTTTTAGATTCAGAGACCTAAATCTTAACTCTTCCCAAGAGATACACACACACACACACACACACACACACACACACACACAAAACTTTCCTCCCACAGGATTTCTCATATTTACAAACTCCTCTTCCCATGTGAAGGCAGGGGAATAATACCCTAAATTCTGTCCCCTTTTTTAGGATCTGCTCCATTGGGGCAGGGTCATCTTGTCTCCTTCCCGTGCTGCCCTTTCCCTTCCAGCTCTCCTCACCTCCCCCATTTTTATCTCCATCTCTGGAGCCCCTTCCCATCATCCTCCTCATCTACATCTCCCCCTCTCTGTCCTTGGATTATCAGTGGAGGAGGGGAGGGGTTGGGCTCCAGAGCCTGCTGCTGTGACCTAGATTTCAAGGCGAGACAGTTCCTGGTGCTGACAGTCAGAGAGCATTGTTCCCGGCCCGGCCTGGCAGGGCCACCGCTGGGCCCTTCTGTATGGTTGCACCTGGCTGTGCCTATGTGTGCCCGTTTCTCTCAGGGGTCGTGCTAGCCCTGCTGTCTGGCTCATTGTCTGTCTGTGTCACGGTGCCTGCCACCAAAGGAGGCTTGTTTATTCTGGTCCAAGTAGGGGGCTGGGAATGGGGACTTACGGGTCCATACCTCTTATTTTGCAGTGGCCATGCCTCTGCCTCAGTTCCCCTGCAGTAGAGGGGGAGAAGGAAGGAAAATGTGAGTGTGTCAACCAGCCCACTTTGATCTGCCACTTTCCTAGCCCAATGTTGGGGTGATTTGTGGGCAGCCTCAGATAGGTACAAGTTCATCTAGCTCCTTGCCCACCCCTTGGCCTATCCACAAAGTGTTTATGACATGATTTACCTTTAAAAAATACTTTGCTTTTCTGAGTAAAAGGAAACATATACTCATTATGGAAAGTAAGTCCCTTTTTTGAGCTCACCAGTAGAGTTTCACATTTTATCAAATCCAGAAAGTTCATTCTAAGGTACAACTTTCTTTCTTCTGTCTTAGCCAGTTCCTATCTTAGTGGAAGACAGGCCTTGAATGTTCTCTTTTTGACCTAAGGATCATAATAGAGGGATGGGGGTGAGGCCTAGATGAGACCTGGCCTTGCCCAGCCCCCTATGGGAGGCTATGCTGAAGGCAGTGCCAGCAGGATGTTGATGCAAGGAGGAGTAGCAGTCCCCTTCAGCAGACTCTCCCAGAGCAGCATCTAAACTCCTCTAACTCCCTTCCCTCCCCTCCCCCCACCACCCAGCCAGCCTGGGAACCGGGCAAGGGGCCAGAGGCAGCCGCTTGGTATTCTTGGGCGCGGGGGCTGCAGGCACAGCACAAAGGCTAGGAGAGAGGGCTAAGTGGGGGCCTGCTAACCATCAAGTGAGAAAATGGGCTCTACAAAGGTGGGGGTGGCCCACTGCTTCCCCCACCTCAAGCCCTAATGACGAATACAAGGCTAAGCATGGAGGGGCCAGGGAACCATCAGACCAAGCAACTAGGCATCCATCCAAAATGAGTCATTAGTAGGGTGGTGGGGAGTTGAAGTGAGGGACCCCTTTGCTTCTGGGGAAGAATGGAAGCTAGAACATGAGCTCCTACCAACCCCTCCAGTTCCTCCTTCTTAGCTTCTGACTGCCACAGCAAGCCTCTCCCTGGTTGTTGTTTTTGAGTGTTTTGGGTTTTTTTTCCTGACATGGGGAGGGGTTGCAGGTGGGTGGGGCGATTCTGGGGGGGACTTGGAGACAGCGGGTGAGAAAGTCGGGAGCAGGTTGCTATGGTAACCGCCTCCTCAGTCAGGGGAACTGTTGCCAGGGTTACTGTTAGAGGGGGTAAAAGAAGAAAAAGATGGTGGGGAGAAGGAGGTATGACTTGTCACTCTAGGCTCCAGCCTGGCTCCTAGCTCCAAGTTTCTTCCTGTCTACCCCCACCACCTTCCCTAGGTCTTCCTTTTCTCCCTCCAGCCCTGGCCACACCCAACCTCCATGTTCTAGGCACATGTCTGGTAGGGCAGAGTGGGGGGATGCGGTAGTTGCCAGTGAGTGAGCCAGATCCCCCCGCCTTGCCCCATATCTTAAGCTCAACTCCTCTCCCTTTTTTGCCTCCCAACCCAGTCATGGCTGAGTACGGGACCCTTCTCCAGGACCTGACCAACAACATCACCCTTGAAGATCTGGAACAGCTCAAGTCAGCCTGCAAGGAGGACATCCCCAGTGAAAAGAGTGAGGAGATCACTACTGGCAGTGCCTGGTTTAGCTTCCTGGAGAGCCACAACAAGCTGGACAAAGGTGGGGGAGGGGAGCACAGGGATCCTGCCATCAGCCTTTCCAGCTCAGTTCATTCAGCAGATAGAGATGAGCTCAAAACTCTTATATACACAAAGCGTACCCCTCTATGACAAGACAGAATAAGAGAGATACTCTAAGAAAGTATAGGAGGCTTTATACAGTTTTGACATTTAGACATTTTTCATTGTGCCCCTTGTCAGTAAAAATGTTACTCAGATACTCCTGTGCTATTATCACATACGCAATAAAAACAGAATTTAAAAGTGGTAAATTTAAGATAAAACCACAAGTTCTAACATTTTCTTATCCACTTTTGGAGACTACTGCTAGGGGTGAAGGGGGAGGAGGTCTACAGGTAGAGCAATCCCATGCAGCTGGGGGCTTTAGGGAAGAAACTGGTGTTTAAGATGGCCCTGGAAAGCAAGTGGGGTTTCTAGGGCAGGATTCAAAAAAGGCATGCCAGGCAGAGGAACACAGTCGCAGAGGTGAGAGAGTATCTGGTGTGTTTGGAAAAGCAGTGTCCTGCTTGGCTTGACTGGGACATAGGGTATGTTTAGTAGTGGCTGAGAAGGTAAGTTAAGACTGTTGTAGTGGGCCTTGAGTGACAGGGTGTTTGATGGGTGAGGTGAATGACCTCAGGGCCCTTCAGATATGCTATTCTGACTGTAGTGTGGACAGCAGGGAGGCTGAAGGAAGACGTATTATAGTTAGACTACTGCAACACTCAGAGGGGAGGAGCCAGGGAAAGTCTATGGGCATCTGTCATCTCCTGGAACTGGCCACGCCATGGAGGATCATCCTTCTGGTGGTGTCCAAGCCTTTTCTCATTCAGAATAACCTTTTTCACTAGACCCAGCATCTCTCCTAGGTTGTCTAAGATTCCACCCCTCCAGTCTTACATGTGCTGCCAGCAAATTCTTTCTGATACTTACTTGGAGAGAACGTAGAAAAAGGACAGGGTGGGAGTGGGGTATCTGGAAGGCAAGTTAATTTTTCTATTGTCCCCTCCCTCCAATATGGGACCTGGCATCTAACCTAAATCTCTCATTCTAAATCTACATTTGAGAAACTTCACTAACTCTCTGCCCTTCTGGGAATAGTCCTCTGTACTGTTTGGGCACCTTAGTTTTCTTTTCCTGGCTCAGTAGCCCCTCTTCTGTTAGTGCTGTCCCTTCCCATAAGCAATGTGAGGAACTCAGCCTTGGTTCCAGAACACTAGTCTGGTAGAGTGGGGGAACATGACTGTCACAGCCTAACTCTGACTGTCAATCTCTCCTGCCTTTTCTCCAGACAACCTCTCCTACATTGAGCACATCTTTGAGATCTCTCGCCGTCCTGACCTACTCACTATGGTGGTTGACTACAGAACCCGTGTTCTGAAGATTTCTGAGGAGGATGAGCTGGACACCAAGCTAACCCGTATTCCCAGTGCCAAGAAGTACAAAGGTAAGAGGCTATGCCTTTAACATAGCTGCACCTCTGCCCACTCCCATCGATTATCCCTGAATTTTGGGAGAGTGAAGGCTGATGCTCAATGGCCTGCCTGGTATCTCCCACAACTTCTATCCCTGGACACATCCCTTTTTGCCCCCAGACATTATCCGGCAGCCCTCTGAGGAAGAGATCATCAAATTGGCTCCCCCACCGAAGAAGGCCTGAGCAAGGGGGAGGAAGAGGAGGAAGGTTGGACCTTCATCAGACCACTTCCTTCCCCCATCCTCCCGGAGAGGGGGCAAGCCTCTCCCCCATCTACCCACTTACTAACCTGGTCCTAACCCCCTTACTGTGCGCGTGTGTGTGCGTGTGCGCACGCTCTGGCTGTATGTCTGTATGTCTAGCTCATCTAGTTCCTCCTTACGAGGGGATGGGGGTCAGGGGCTGGAGGGGGCTTAGTTTCCCCACTCTAGGAGGACAGGAGGTGGGGGCTATTTCTATGCAAATAGAAATTAGCACTTTCCTCCACTCTCCCCTCCCCTTCTTTAAAGTGCGAAGTAGAAGGGACCTGCATTTTCCTACACTGAGGAGCTGAGGTGGGGGTGAGATGGGAGAGGTAGATGGATCCAAGGAAAAGCAGTGGGGAGGGAAGGTGAAGAGGCCACCCAACTCCCACCTGGAAGGGGCAAAGAAAAGCCAGAGTTCAGTATTGTACCCTCATGATAAACTGACGGAAGAGTCCAGTTTCTTGCTGTTCCTCAGGTTGGAGGGCCTAGGTGCCAGCAGTCCCTTTCTGCTTCCCTCTCCTGGGCCTAGGATGGGTGTGAGCCAGGGATCTCATGAGAAACCACTGGATCCTTTCCTGATCCCTAAGATCAAACCCATGGAGCAGCCAGCATTAGATGCCCCACCCACTTGTGCTCTGCAGAGACTATGCTGGGAACATACACCACTGAGCCTGAGATGGGGATGAGGGCAGAGGGAGGGGGCCCGCTTTTTCCACTTTTTTATTCCTACACAGACTGTTGCATATACTGACTTCGAACCTAGGGAAACTGGGGATGAGATCCTTAGGTTTTAACCCCAATCCTGCCCCCACGTATAGGGTCCCAATGTGATTTGTGCAGGCAACAGGCAACCCTCCCTTTCTCCTTGGTCTAGAACATCCCAAGCCAGAAAGAAGTGAAGTTAACTACAGTGTTTTCCTTTGCACTGATCCCCACCCCAATTCAATCCAGGAGGGGACTTAGTAACCCTTCTCACTTAATATCCTGGACCCTTGGGCTTGTGGATGGCCTCCCTAGCCAAGTCACTAGAGTACACTGAGTGACCCCAGCCTCCTGCCTGTCCCAAGATGCCCCTACCCAACCCGACCGTGCTAACTGTGTGTACATATATATTCTACGTATATGTATATTAAACCCGCACTGCCATGTCTGCCCTTTTTTTGTGGTGTCTAGCATTAACTTATTGTCTAGGCCAGAGCGGGGGTGGGAGGGGAATGCCACAGTAAAGGGAGTGGCAGAGTCAAATTGCTACATAGTCCAAACAAAAAAGAAAGCTTTTAAAAAAAAATTAAACTCATATGCAATCTCAGAGACTATTTAGAGAAAGTTGAAGTTAGAAGCTTTTATGATGTAGGAGCAAACTTTTAGTGGTAGGGGAGGGCTGGCTGTTGGAAGAAGGAAGAAGCCAGACTGGTTAGAGAGTACCCTTGACTCCTAGCCCGGTCCAGCCTGCCCATCCCCTCTGGCCACCGATGCGGACACCTGCCTTAACACACACACCTTGAGGACTCCACGGTTTTGCCTTAAAGGACCTTCCCAAGTCTCCTCAGCCCTGTCTGGCTTCTCCTTTAAGAGAGAGATACCTGTAGAATTGGGAGGGGGGAAATAACAATGAACTGTCCTTCCATTCGGGCTACGTTATGTGAGAATAAGAGTGAGAATAGGAGCCTTACTTATGGAAGAAATGGGAGAAGAGAGACAGGGTTATTCTCAGCAGAGTCTAATAGTTTCTCTGTAAGGCAAAGTAATCTAAAAAGACTAACCTGCCCACCCACCCCTTATATTGCTGTGAGATTGCCCCATCCTGTGCTCCTCTGTCTGCAGTGTGCACGGCCTTGTTCTAACCCTGGAATAAAGGTGATTGATTGTACTGTACCTGATTGATTCTAAAATTTCTGTGAGTGACCAGAATTTTGGAGCCTTTGAATCACTGGGAAGGGAGGGGGAGCAATATTTATCCTCATATCCCGCTTTGTAGCCTATACCAGGGGCTGGGGAAATATATCATCATCCCCCTATCCTGCCCCTACCTTCTAAGTATCACTGAGCTAAATGGACAAGTCACCAGCTGGAGCCCAAGCACCGGAAGCATGCATATCCTAGACTGGACTTGCTAAAATTGTAACATGGGCAGAAGTGAGAAGGTAGGGTCAGGTACCTACATTGAAAGGAGCAAAAACAGTCCATCATAAATGAATGGACCACATACCACACAGAGCAGCAGTCAGGAAAAAAAAAAAGCTTTACTGAGAGAAAATACAACAAATTCCAGAGTGCATGGTTTTCAACCCACCCCATCACCCCACTAGCAATAGGAACACAGACCACTCAGTCACCACACATTCTCTACCTCAGGGAGGAAGTGCAGCAGCTAACCACTGATCTGAGAGCTGCTAGGAAAAGGGGCAGGAGGAAGGAGTGTCTGAGAATACCATCCTCTTTTTTCCGCTCCTTCCTGGCCTGGTTTAGTAGAAACTGACTGTCCCAGGATGCAGAATTACTGACTGGATCTTGTGGGAACTGAGGGCAAAAAAAAAATAGCAGCAAAAGCATTTGAGGGCAAGAATTCAACTGGGACTTTCATACTCAGTGACCAGTGATAGGACAAGTGCCCAAATCACAGCCACCATAATCAATCCTTAGATTACTGACTTGTTCCTCAACACCAAGATATATGGTATAAAGTCAAACCCAGGAAGCCTTTCCCTTCACTCTTCCATTAGGAAGGGAGCTGGCATGGAGTTGGATGGCTTAAAGAATCAAAGCAGCTAAAGGTAAGAGACTGTGTGTGTGCATGTGTGTGTCTTCTGTCATAAACAGTACCAGAAAGAGTCTGCAGTGGCGGCACCCTTCTTGAAGTCATAGTTCAGTCAAGTTTTAAAGACAGGCCAGCCTCAGGTTAGAAGAGCCATCCTGGGGACCCCCATAAGACTTAAGGAGAGGTAGGAGATATGAGGCAAAGAGTTGAGAGAAATTTCCTGTTTTTCCCAAATCCCACACCAAGGCAGGGAAGTGGGGAAGGGAAGAACGGAGCATCCTTCCATTCTTGAGCCTCCTAAAACCTAAGGGATAAGCCCCAGTCTTCAATGGCCATACACAGAGGTAAGCTGACCCCAGGTGTCACCTCCACATCATTACTCTCGCTCGCTCTTCCTTTAAGTCCCTTTATTGCATTCATAGAGAATATATAGGTATTTAAACTTTGACAATTTTACCTTGATACATCCAACTTTGACTTGCTTTTTAATATATTTATAGATATAAAATTAGGCCTCTTAACAGTGATAGGGACAGGGAAATGGCTGCCACCAAACAACTTTTTTTTTAAATAACAGAAGAGGTAACATCCTTCCTCTTCTTTCTCCACCTCTGCCCCTCCTCCCACTTCTCCCCAACCTCACTCACCTAACCTATTTAGGGGGTGATGGGATGAAGAGAAGAGAGTGAAGGATACATAATCAAGTGCAAAACACCGTGATAAGTACAGAGAATGAATGAGGTGGAAAGGACAGTGAAGAGTGTGGGATGTCTAGGGACTCTAAGGACTTCCCAGAAAAAACTGGATCCTGGGATGGGGTTGCTGGGGGGGAAACAATGAAACTGTCATAGACTTTTTAAAAAACAAAGGAAAAAAAGGTCAAAAACCTAAACCAAAGAGAGTGGCACTTCTACCCCCCACTCTGGCTCCTTGGTACTGAATAGCCAGTTGTTCCCCCCACCCCCCTGCCCAAGAAACAAGGGAGATTAAAGAAAAAGAAACCCCATACTCTATCCCAAACCAGTTAACAAAATAGGCTCCCCTCTTCCCCCCCAAAAAGAGGCTTTTGAGTAGAGGCTATTTCTGCTGAGTCCTATGCACCTTTCCATGGAACCCCATTTCAGGGCTCAACTCCCATTCCTAGGTACTCTGTTGGTTTATTCCCTTCTGGTTTGTCTTTCTCCTGGGATGTCTTTCTTTTATCTAAAGCAAAAGTCCAAAGTGCGTTTCTGCTGAATGTAAGGGCCCGGGCGAGGAAAGGGTTGCCCAGGCAGGATCGGGTTGGTAGCCCAGCCCGCCCCACCTAGGTATGAGGCCTCAGGATGGCATGCACTGCACCCGGTCGGGGCCCTCCTCCTCGTCCGATGTGTCTGAGGAGCTGGGAGACTCATCAGAGTCCGCGTCTGTGGCCCCAACCCCAGGTTCTCGCCAGCGCTGTGGGATGGGAAAGGCTTGTTAGTAACTTCCCTTAATGGAACAAGGACAAGCCTGTTAAGTCTTAGCTAGAATTCAGATGCTCTAGGACACGGATCAGCAGAATTTTTCTTAAAGGGCCAGATACTAAATATTTTAGACTTGTAGACCATACGGTCTTTGTCACAACTACTCAATTCTGCCACTGTAGCATGAAAGCAGCCATAGACAATACACAGAATGGATGTGGCTGCATTCCAGTAAAATTTTATTTACAAAAACCAGCAGCATGTCAACTGCCGGTTTGCCAACCCCTCTCCTGGACTTCTTTTGGCATGAAAGGAAAAACAGAAGGGTTATCCTGAGACTTATTTCTTCTTAATTCCTTCCCCACACTCCTGCCTTTGCCTTTACAAAGATGGCACTATGCTTAGATGACGATGGAGAGTAAGAGCAGACACTACCTTTTTCTGCTGGTGGGCTCTTCCAAGGCTGTATTGGGGATCTGATGGGGATAGGGAACAATGGACAGGAAACCCATCCAAGACCTGATTTCTCCTTAAAGCCACTACTCTGCAACTTTTTAGCCCTCTTGAGAGGGTCACTGCCCTTGGGAGCTCACTTCCAACCCCAGCTTACCCGGTGATGGCGTCTCTGTCTCAGGTGATGCATGAGGAACCAGAGCATGTGGCTATCAAACAGGTCAGTGTGGTGCAAGCTATCTTCATCCCGCTCCCGCTTGTTCTTCTTAATCACCTGGAACCCAAAAGGGTTGGGGGTGGAGGCAGCAATGTATAGGAACCCTGGACTTGATCAAGAAGGCTGGTGTTCAATCCCGATAAAAGTTTCCCGTTAAGCTGAAGTGGAGTAGATTAGGAAGGATGCCCCAGGTTCAGCCACTGAGAAAGTGGGAGGCTTTAAAATGGGATAATTCTTGAAGATGCTCCCTACCCCAACCTACTCCCAACTAGTGGCACTTCATAGCTGCCCCTTGGAGTAGGACTATTCCTACAGCAGCAATGACAGGAATGCGGGGGGGAGGTTTAAAGCAGTACCTTTAAAGAACTGGGCAGCAAATTACTCCTTCCTATGACAACAAAGAATGGTAACAATATGTGGAAAGTAGAGAGAACAGAACTTCTGCAGTCAGCTACTTACATCCTTTAACCCTGTCAGCTCGGTGGAGGCTTCAGCTGTGGGTGCCCAGATCTTCACATCATGGTCTAGGCCACTGGTTGCCAGTACAGGTAGGTGAGGGTGGGGCTCAAGACAGTTTACCTGGTTATGAAGAAAGGAAAATACAGGCTCAGGGGTGTGTGGCAGTAGGGTTTAAAAACCACTACTCACCTTGAGCCAAATAATTGCCCTTGATCGGGGCTAAGGCAGCTGCTGGAAAGGCAGGCCCACCCATCCTGAGCCTAGGCCAAAGGGCCCTGGGAGTAGAGGAAACACCAGACACGGACTGGGTATAAGATGAGGCACATCTATCATTTCCTATGTATAGGTCAGAGGTGGCTTCATCCCCAGATATAGCCCTAGGGGTGGGCGAGTGACTGACCAAGCTTACTGCTAGCTTCACAAAAACGCAGCAAGATCCAGATGACCTCATTCACTCCAGATTCCAAAGCTCCAACTTGTCCAAGGCTGGAAAAAACCATCTCAGTGGCTTTCACCAAGTGGCAAATAAATTTTAAAAAATGAAGAAAGCAGCAGCTGCCACTGAGCCCCCAGAGAAGAGTCAGAGAACAATTACACTCATTTGGCACTGTTTACTAGAACTGGAGGAAGACATAGGCTGAGAAGAGGAGGCTGAGCTAGGGGGTGGAGGTGATAGAGGCTCACGTCTGCTTGAGAGAAGCATGCACATCCCAGGGGGCAACATCCTGCTACCTGCCCTGACAGCACAACAGCTCAACTATGGGCAGTATGGTACAACAAGGCAGCTTCCTGGGGCCCCACAACCTCAATCTCAGCCACCCTCTGGGTACATTCTTGAACAGAAGGAATGAACTATGGCAGGCAGGCCTGTGGCTCAGGCAGCTTCCTTCTATTTGAAAGCACTCATGCCCCCTGCTGTCTGACTTGGAAACAGGAGCTTCCCTAACAGGGCAAGGCAGGGTAGGGCAGTTCCCATCCCCACCGGAAGAGCTAGTCCCAGATCTAACTGCTAAAGCATTTTCAAGCTTTTAGTCAGATGAGGAACACACAGGAAAGGCACTCCGCCTTGCAGCTGCCCTAGAGTCCAAGAAAACAACCCCTGGCAAAAAGCCTCTTTTAGTTCTTTCTGGACCAGCTTCCCCTGCCTTGCCTGCACAGGCAGAGAGCAGCTGAGGAGAAGCCAAGGGCAGACATGGAAAATAGAGCTGACCTACGGACTTCTTTCTTTGACTTCTGTTTTACAAATAAACAAACCAATGCTCAGAAAAGACTGAAGCTAAGTCTGAGCCTAGAAGTAAAGTCCATTCTTTTTCTCATTCTACATATAAGCTCATTGCGAAGTTTTTATTTGGGCTCTTTTAGGCAGTGCATTTGGAGTATGAGGAGGAACTAGGAAAAAACTTCACTGCCTAGAAATATTATCAAAAGATATGCGACAACTTACACACACAACCTGACCTTACTCATCTTCTGATAAGCCCTTGCTATAGATCTGTACTCTGAGCTAGCTCTGCTTGCATAAGTCAGCAAAATAAAATAGCCCAGGGGAATAATTCCTTGGAACTTAAAACTTAAGAACAAAGCCAATGGCAAGAGGAACAAGAGAATAAATTACATATAGTACCTGAGTTGGAGCCTGCTGGGGGAGCCGACAGAACTTCTGGGCCAGAGTACCTGGCCACTTCACCAGACCTGTCTGAATGCCAGGACTTATCCTGTCAATAATGCCTGAGCAGAGAAAAGAGCTCTGGCCTTAGACGACTGGGCTTGGGGAATGCAGGGAATGGGATCAAGCATCAAAGTGCTCTTGGGAGACTAAGGAGTTGTCCTCTGACATCATCCCCCACCCTTGACCCTGTGAAGTTGAATGGGAACAAAGACAAGACTCAAAAACAGAGTCAGCAGACTAGGCAAGGTAGACAACAACTTCTAAGATCCCTTTTGGTTCTAACATTTGCTTTATGATATGGAACTGCTATGAGTCTACATTGAGGCTGGTGCCTGGTGACCTCCACTGCTGAAGGTTAGAACAAAAAAAACAGAGGGAGTCAAGTGAGGACCATGTGGATCTTTCGGCTTACGCAGAGGCAAGAACAAGAAAGGGAAATCACTTCAGGGAGTAGGCTCTGTATCTCTTGTTCTACTCTTTCACTCTTAGGACCACTATAACTTAGGCCTTGGCCCACCCATCCCAAGTAGATGCCCTCCCCACCTGAGCCCTTGGATTAATCATCAAACCCTGGTACTGGCTGAGCCGAAAGTAAACTGGCCTGCAGAGTGCTTTTGGAGAACGGACAAGTGCTGGCCTGGGAGAGGGCATTCAGCCCTGCATCTCTCTGGAACAGAATGCAAGACAATAGTTCATGATCAAGAAAGGATTCACTGGCACCTTCTGACTTGCTTCTGACTACATGCCTATTGCAGGAATCTCATTAAGACTCCAGTGTTTTGGGTTTGTTCACTGCAGATGACAGTGGGGAACCTATGGATTATGAGTAGGAAATGAAGCAGGGAAGAGTAAGACACACCTTGAACTTCCAGAATCCTCTCCATTTATATTCACAGGCCACAAAAGTCCTAAATCTGTTTAGATCCCAGGTCCCCCAAATTTAAAGAAAACCAGAAGAAAATCTGAAATACCCTCATACCAGGGCAAGAAAAACACAAGAAAGAATGGAATCCTGATTACAAGGAACCATTCTAAATTCTAAAACCACTTTCTGAATAAACCTCATCAAGAGATGACTGGGATCTATGAATTTCCCACAGCTTAGAAGGAATTAAAAGAGAGATCAAGCCGTCTCAGTCATTCCTTAAAGGCCTTGAGTAACGAGGCTATCTTGGGTAATCAGTACAATATAGTCTTCCAAACTCTTTCCTATCTTCTGTAGTACAAAAGCCTAATTACAGAAAGCTACTGAACTCTTTCCCAACTCTGGGTCTCAAAAAAGAAAAAGAAAAAAAGATGATAAAATTAACCAGATACATCTTAAGAGCTGATCACTTTTCATTCCCGAATCCGATCCTCACTCTTCCTTATTGCTCTGTGTCCACAGAGGTTGTCTGAGGAACTCAAAGGACAGGCAGACTGTGATAGGATCATGGGTTATATAGCAAGCAGGCTGCTCAGCCACTTTTTAAAAAAAATTATTTTGCCACATTTGCTTTCTCCCTACATATAAACTTATACATCATGTGTATGTTTGTACCCATTTGAATGTAAGCACATTTCACTCCTAAATACTTCAACATGTATCTCCTAAAAGGATATTCTCCTATATAGATTATCAAATCAAATAAACTTAATACTGAATATATTATGTAATGTATAAACCATATTCTGATTTTCCCAGTTGTCCAAAAAATGCTTTCTACTTTTATCTGCTGATCTAGGTTCCAGACAAGATTGCTACTTAGTCAACCTAAAGGACTAGACATGGAGACATCTTTAGCATTTATATAGGAGGGTATGCCCTCCACTGCTTTTTCTTTTAGAAAAGGTCCATGCCTAGAGATATGTTATCTCACTCAGGACGTAAGTTCTTCCCTAAGATCTCTTTCTCTTTCAATAACCCATGCCTTAGAGGGATGGAAGACAGGAAAAGGAAGAAAATATTCCATCAAAACCTCAGCACCTCCAGGCTACACTGCTTTCGCCCCACCCCTCCTTGAAACAGGGTCTTACTGTGTTGCCAAGGCTGGACTTAAATACCTGGGCTCAAGTGATCCTCCCACCTCAGCCTGAGTAGCTGAGACTCCAGGCACGTGCCACTGCACCTGGCCTTGTACTGCCTTTTAACTTAGCTGGCCACACCTCTAAGACATGGTATCATGTAGTCACAGTGAACATTCAGTGGCTCTGCTAAAACCTACCTTAATCACTGAAGAGACTAGGGAGCCAGCCAGCCCAGCACACCATACTCACCACGCCTCCCTTGTCCCCCTCCATGAACTGAATGATCTGGCAGGATGATTTCTCCCAGAGGAAGATGTGCCCGCAGTCACTACCGCTCACCACAAACTCACTCTTGGGGCCATAGAAATTGACGCCTTTTACTGAAATGATAAATGAGAGAACAGACCACATGAGGTTGGCATCAGTCCTATATATATATTTATCTCACAGGGAATTTAGTTATTCACAAACTCTAAATCAGCTGAGAGCTAAAGAATTCATTTTCATAAAACAAATCAAGAGATTATGTGTGTATAATAGATAGTTGCAAGAATCACACCAGTTCCAGAGACTATTTATATTCTCCCAGAGAGCTCCACAGGGCAGGAGTCTGCAGTCCCTTAGCAACAGCCTCAGTCTCATTAGTCTATACCCTATCAGACAACCACAGGCCTCACTAATGCCTAACCTGTCCCAACCTGAATCACCCCAGCTCTGCCCATTCCCAGGCAGCACTGTCCTGTGCCCTAGGATTATTCTTGATATGTGTACTTCATTGGTACCTGTGTTTCTTGGGTCATCAGTTAATCTGAGACTGATGAAGGTATATGCCACAATTGCTTGTAAGAAGGAAGAGAACTATGCTTGTTGCCAGGACTCCAAATAACACGGCTCCACTCTCTAGAATTAAGCCAGGAGTCTTACCTATTATGGTCAATACCATACCAGCCATGAGACTGGCACTCTTCCTTTTGTCTGCCTGTGGACTGAGATCAAAGTACAGATTGTTTCCCTCCCTTCTCACCAGCTCAAGAAAAAAAGGAAAACTAACTGCTAACTGCTGTCTGCAAGTCAAAATTATGGCAGATATCTGTTAGCAGTGGTAACAATAACAAAGAGCAGTGATTCCTCAACTTTTCTGTACATCAGAATCACATGCGTAGCTTTTAAAAATCCCAATGCTCAAGTCGTACCCCATACCAATTCAACCAGATGTATGGGGTTAAGGCCAGGCAGCTGTGTTTTTAAAAGATTGTCAGGTGACTACAATATGCCCCAAAGTTTGGGAACCATGGACATGGAACAAAAAAGACTAATCTTCATCACAATCTAGGGCTAGGTACTACTACCATTCCTCCTCCTCTGCCTCATTCAAAAGAATCATTTACTTCTCCCTCCCTAGAGGTACAAGCTCACCCCTACTTTAGGCAATTCAGTACCATTAACTAAAGAAGGCTTTCCCTGACTCCCTAACAAGGCATTTGTGCCAATTCTGAAATTACCTGAAATCATTAAAAAAAAAAGTCTAGTCTCCTTATGCCCACCAATTAGAAGCAACATCACTGCAGTGATGAGAGATGCTCTTTAAGCCCTCCTCTCCTCTAGCATAGTGGAGAAAACACGGTAACTCTAGCCTAATTCAGGATAACCTTTCACTGCCCACAGTGACACAGGCAGCCTACTTCTCAGATAGTTTCCATTTGCACAATCTCAATGAGATACTATGGTTCCCCAAGCCAACAGACTTGGGCCACAGAAACCTAAAAAGACGGTCTCACCTGTGGCGTTATTTCTGTGGCCCTTATATCTTTTAACATACTGGGCCCCATCACTGTGAGAGGAGTTGAAGAGGTAAATGTCTTCATCATTGTAACTGGCCAGGAGCTCTGCCAAGAACAAGAACAAAGCAGTGAAGGCAAAGGCTGAAAAAAGCAGGGACCAGGAATTGGGGGTTGGGGTGGGGCTTCTTGCCAGCAGTGCCCCCTCCAAAACCCAGGTATAGCACCCATCTTAGTTGGAACAGCAGGCAAATCAGGGTAGACTAGGAACATACTGCCAACCCAGGGGTAGCAGAATGCTCAGAAAAAATCATACCCATTAACTCAGTAATGAGCCAAAGGCATGAGAACCTGCTCAGGCAAGCAGCCTGGGTTTCAGGACAGGCCCTGACAAATATAATCTGCAGCATTCTGCAAATGGTGCCTGGCATCTCCAAGGGTCATCTGCTGCATCCTCCCACTACGTGCTCACCATCAGCAGCTACTCCCCAGCTGCTCCACTTGGAGCTATAGCACAGTGGTGAGCACTGGAGGGCACATGCCTCACTGGCTCAGCAGCTCCCTAGACAGAGGAGGCATGCCAGCCTAGGAGCTGGGCCCTGCTCACGTACCTGTGCCGTCGTGGCTGTACACAAGACAGGTGATGTTTGCTTTGGACTCACTGTTCACCTGCAATAAGGAGCAGATACTGACTGATGCCCCACCCCCCCATTTGTTATACCACCTTCAGGAAACAGGCTTTCTTTCAAACTCCCCTATAGCTTCTCCCAAAAATTGAGAGAAAGACAGACAGACAGAAACAGGAGTACAACTGATGAAATGTGACCACCTCCGGGAGGAAAGTCTCAGGACCTTCTCTTGGTTGTCTGCTGTGTGCCAGCCATTTTATATACACTGTCTCATTAGGCCTCACTGTCATGGCGCAAGGCAGTTATTGTTATCTCCATTTTGTTTATTTAAAAAAGTGAAACTAACAGAGGTGAAGTGACTGCCCAAGATCACACGCTGGTAAGTGGTAAAGCCAGGATTCAAATCCAGGTTACTGACTTGAAAGTCCAAGCTCTTCCCATCATACCAACAAGTTCAGGCGCAGCCTTGGGGTCAAATGAGGGAAGCCTGGTGCCACTGGCCCTTCATGAATCTTACCAGGTGATGAGGACAGAATTTCTTGAGTACTCCATTGTTCTCATTCTCATCGATTTTCCTCTGGTCATAAATCCTATAGTGGAAGAAGCAATGAAAATGGCAATCTCAATGGGGTGGAAACACATATTTTATGTCAAATATTATGCCAGGTGCTGGAAATACAGGGAGGAACAAGACAGACCCAGTCCCTGTCCTCACTCATCAGTCTCCTCCAATCTCAGAGCCTATCTCTGGACATCTGTTATTAATCTCACCCCTCCAAGGACCTTGTTTGATTTAGTCCATTTCTTAACCTCTTCCTAATCACCACCTGGCCACTTTCTAAAAATCCTTCTACTGTCCTTTCCTACTATTACCTTTTCTCTCCTTCTCCTTGCAGTCAAATTACTGAAAAGAACAACCAACATTCAAGATCTTCACTCCCTTATTTTCTATTCACTTCTCAACCCATCCTAACCTGGCTTTGGTCTTCAACTCACTGCTGAAACTTCTGTGGCTGAAGTCAGCAGTATCCAACAAGATACTTTTCAAGTCTTTCTCTAGCCCTGACACTGTTCACTACTCCTTCCCTGAGACACCTTCTTTCCTTGATGTCCAACCACTTCTCAATGTTGTTCATGGGTTTGTCTTTCTTTCTTTGTCCACCCCTTCAATGATGATGTTCTCCAGCAGCTTAAGCTCTCATCTGACTCTATACTAGGAAAATTCAACATGAAGCCCAAGTAGTATGTGAACCTCTGAAGAAACTGTGTTTATGTGCTGGGGAGAAGGAACTATATTCTCAAAGCAGCCAGAGACTCAAAAGGGGGAAAAAACCCTACCCTATACTTTCCTTTGGTTATCAAATTCCATTATGTTTTAACTACCACCTATTCATGGATACATGACTTAAATCTATATCTCCAGATCACATTTATTCTGAGCTCTTGACTTTTATCTACTTAACAAATGGATGTATTATAATATCCATAATGTTATAATTATGTGTAACATTGAGATGCCCAAAAGCAAACCCATTCTCCTTCTTCCAAAACTGAACTCATTCTAAGCCTATACCTTTCCCCCTGAATCTTTGTTAATAACACTACCCTAAATTCAAGTGGCCAAACCAGAAATCAGGTCCTTTCTTTCCTGTCAATTCTACTCCCTGGGTATATTTTTTGACTATATTTGCTTTCTCCACCCCTTGTTATTTTTTCCCTAGATTACTATAGTATCCTTCTAACTGATTTCTTTGCTCATACTGTCACCAGAATTAAGTCTAAAATGCAAAATTTCATATAAATTTCCTGCTTAAATATTTTCACTGATTTTTTTTTTTTTGAGACAGGGTCTTGCTGTGTTGCCCAGGTTGGTCTTGAACTGCTGACCTTGAGCAATCGTCTTGCCTCAGCCTCCTAACTAGCTGGGATTACAGGTGTGAGCCACCACATCTAGCTCCTCGGTGATTTTGTACTATCTACTAAATAAAGTTCAAACCCTTTAGTATGGCAACCTACCACTTCTCCAAGATCCTATACATTGCACCAAAAAAAAAAAAAAAAAAAAAAAACAACCTCTTTCCTCGAACATACTGCATCGTATCTTGTTACTTTGTCCTTACATATAATGTTCCCTCTACCTGAAATACTAATTTTCCATTTGTCTTTAATCCTTTCTCTGTGAGAAAAAACAGCATACATGGTTTCCACTATCTTCAAGTAGTTGGATCTGAGTTCAAATGTTAATATTAATACTAATCCTGCTACTTATACTACCTGAGTAATACTGGGCAAGTTACTTAATATCTTTAATTCTTATATATCTGTTTCTCCAAAATGTTCCTTAAAGGCAGAGACTATGTCCAGCCAACGGTGTATCTAGCACAGAGTAGATGCTGGATAAATAAATGAATGAATATTTCTCTGTATCTCCATAATCCCTTGCTTAATATCCTGCATAAAGAGAATATCCAGGGCCGGGCGCGGTGGCTCACGCCTGTAATCCTAGCTCTCTGGGTGGCAGAGGCAGGCGGATTGTTTGAGCTCAGGAGTTCGAAACCAGCCGGAGCAAGAGCAAGACCCCGTCTCTACTAAAAATAG